CCGAAAAAGAGAGAAGGGACAGGTGGCCCGGCAGCAAGGCTGTGCTGACATCCTGCATGGTGCAGCATTAATCAGTGAATAAGGACCAACGAGCAGAGATGCCAGCAAGACACTAGGCTGCTGAGCACTGATCCAGAATCTGTTCTCAAAAACTGCCCCTGTGTTTCACAGTACAGCATTTATAAAGGTTACAGAGTCTATGCAGGCAGATCAAAGTGTTCACTTCAGTGCAACTTCAGAAAGAATATGAATGATCTGCCGAATGTCCCTCAGCTCCAGAACACATAATGCGACCCAAAGAGGGTGAACAGCTGACAGATAATGAGTACTGATTCTTTTTCCGTAGTTTGAAATTGCGCTCATTCTGGACAAAATAATGGTCCTATATTGTTCTCCTTATATGTTTACTTTGTGAAAAAAGTTAATTTATTCCTGCACTAATCTACTTGACTTTTACAAACATGGTCAGTAAAAATTGCATCCATCATAGGATTGACAGGCTACTCAAATTCGGGCAACAGAACAACACATCTATTGTTTACAGAAGCAAGGGGGGGGGTGCCTTATTGTTGAAAACAGTGCAAAAATTGTCCCGTTACTTCTTGCATTTCTGGTGGTAGTGAAAAGTATGTGAACGCCCATCACACTGGAACAGAAAGGTAGCAGTGTGAAGAGCATGCTGCTCGTGCAGAAAGTCCTACGCCGCTGTAAATAAACTAAGTGTGTCTGTGACGGCACTTAGCAGGCCCGAGCGAGGCTTTGCAGGCTGACAGAGCGCGGTCACAGCCCCAGCGAGCTCGTGGATGGGCATCCCTCATGCTGTGACACCAATGTCAACACACTGTGTAAATATGAGTGCAACAGCCAGCCTTAAATATACAGGATTCAGGGTAGATGTATGATCATATGGACAAAAGATTACACTATGAATGTTCTTCATACTTACAAGACCATTCGTGAGAATTTTAATACATTAAAATCAACAAGCCAACTAAATAGAAATATTACTTTTCTCCTTAAATCTTGATAAGACTATGATAATGAGATATACAGTGTTTATGCTTAAAATATTTTTAAGCATCATTTATAAGAGAGGCTACTTTCTGTTTCATTCATTTGATGTAACAGCTGACTCGCCTTGATTCCAATGCTAAACTTAAATCTGATATTACATCTAACCACGATAAATTACTGCGGAGATATTAGATGTATTATATATTACAGTTATTATAAGATTACTAACACAAACCTGACATGAGATTTACCTGCGCTATCTAAGCAATCCTATATTTCTATTTAATCCTTCAAATCCGTAGCGTGGACAGTGGTTTGTCAATGTATTAATTACATGGTTTAACAGCAGTTCCCAGCAACTTTTTTTTCACAAAATAGTGCAGATTTGCACTATTAACATACATTTAATACAGCTGATAGATGGCATACTTCAGTTTTTTTACACTTCCGTATGTAGCCGAATGACATTAAATATATTTTTACATATTACGAGTATTAAATTTCAAAATTGTCAACACGATCAATACATTTCAGATGAGGCATTTCGGTGCGGTACATATCTGCTTGAAGGCGTGCATTTTTCGTCAAATACCATCATCATTAAAAAGTAAAGTGCCCGATTGTAGACCCAACTCGCAGGATCTCCTTCTTGACCAAATATTAGGCCCAGTCAGTATGTCCCCTTAGACGATGTTCGCTGTTAATATTATATAAACGATTTAATCATTCACTCTGCTGGTACGACAGGCAGCGCGTCAGGATCGCTTTAACGCCGTCAGGTGTCGCACGAAGTACCTACCACAAGCTAAAGTGCAGGCATCTCTTATCGCTTTGTGCTTATTCCCGGACGCATCTTTTTGTAGCTTTCGGAGTATTTCTTCCATGGTGAAAATTAATATACGAAACCTGATTTGAACCAACTGCGATTACGCATCTATTCCAGCAGCATCCTTGTTTCTAGCGATGATTCATCCCAAGGCCAGTGATGTAAGATCACACGTCAGTTCAGTAGGAAATGCCCATGTAGTCGGTGCGAAAATGGTCCAGGTTTCCCGGAACGACGGATCCAGGTCCTCAGACGGGGTGTCGCACTACTTGGGTGAAATCTCTGAAATCTCCTGTGCTGGACGCTGAATCGCACGTATGTGGCTGGGGTAACTGTATATCAAGACGGGCCATTTCCCTAATTCAGCCTGGGAAATTTGAAATCTGCAAACTGCGGATCTGGATTTTGGCTTTTTGCTGGAACGGAGGGATTAAATGGCTTGGAATCCGGACTGGGGCGCGCCGGGATGCCGCTCGGACTGTGGCCGCTGTTATATTGCTCACTCTTCTGCATGCACGGCTTACTGATGGAGCTGTACGTCCATGTCCGCCTTTTATAAGGGACGCCTGAAGGGAAATTGTCATACAAAGGCGCCGCTTACTGACAGCTTGATTCCCGTGAATTCCACCCGAGATAATCAGTTATACCTCCAACATTATAAAAGACTATCAACAAGCACAAGCACAGCGACATCGGGAGGAGAGCATATTAGGAATATGGTTTATATGGTTTTATATATATATTATATATATGTGTGTGTGTGTGTGTACACATACATACGTATAGTATGCATAGTACAGCTGTATACTTTCTATACACCGAGCTGTATATTGTTCTCTATGCTTTAAATAACCTATTAAATAATGGCTTTTATTGTTCTCGGTATATACCTATTATGCCATATGATTTCTCACGTTTCAACCATTTTCCTCTCTGTATTCTATATTCGAAAAATTCTGATCTGGGATCAGCTCGCCACCATCACATCCATTGAAGATTGACGTGGGGCGGGAAACGCGAAACAGATCCCAGATCGCATAGTTTAGAAGGATCTTCTCGCAATCTGGATAACCGGATAACGTAAAAAGCAAACGCGATTCTCGTTTCCGAAATCTCGTCATAGGTTTGCTGTACGTCATTGCACAGGTAAAATAGTAGCTTTAGTTAAGCAGGTTCGGGGCGCTTTTTGGTCCAATTCCTACTGATATTAATACATTGTTGGCTGGTTGTTACGTGGCAGAACCGACATTTTAAATGTTGGCCACCGACCCGTCACCACTGCAGGCTTTTGCTTTCCACAGGTTGTGTTGAGCGTTTACCTGCTTGTACTATATTTGATCAGTCCCCCAGTTTTACCAATAATTGCAAATCCCAACACAATTTCTTTTAAATGCTTCATTTGACTAAGCAAAATTTCGTACCGAAACTTTTGTGCAGTTGTTTTGTAGTAGAGACATTCTGGGGTATTGTCTGTAAAAAGAGATACCAGTTTCACTTTCCTCTGGACATCTACCTAAAATCACAAATTGTGTTGAATATGTGGTACGTCGTATTTAAACTCCATTCTCTACTACGGCAGTGCTGGTGTCAGAATTATAAGATGTAGGCTATTGGAGACTCTGTGTAATCGTTTACTTCACCCTTTCCCTCCCCCCAAAGATAAGGTATGCTCTCCCCAAAGCTGGTTCACCAAAACGATGAGCTCATTGATGCTTTAAATATTTTATTTTATTCGTGTGACGCTTTTATGTACGTGTAATGGTCTAGTATTGGCGGTAGGGGGCGCTAACGGTGTGTTGTTGAAACTACCAAACATTGCAAGCAGAGTAGTTTTCATTTTACTTACCAAATCTACTAAACGTTTTTAAACGATTTGCCTTATCTACCGTTACACATTTGTAATTGCAACGCGTCTTTGTGCGTCCTCTGTCTCATTTTGGAGAATTTAGTCAAATTAATCTTCTAATATTTAACGTCAGCTAACAGAGAACGATATTAACTATAGGCCAATGGTATCTCTTAGTCAGTGTTTGTTTTGTCATCGATCGATGACAAAGATTGGTGGTAACTCTTTTCTGTTATTCAGGGAAATTAATATTTGAACTAGGCATAATGAACAGCAGCGACACAGTTTAATGGACCATGTGTAATATTTTAGAGTTTCATAGTCCCTGGGCGTTACATCTAACACGTCGGTCACAGCATTTTTGCCATCACTGGAGATAATATGACTGGGAAATATAATGCCCATGTTTATCAACATGAGATGCAGATATTTTTAAAATTAGGTCTTCGAGGTGGGCGTGTCTGTAAAGTTTTATGGTATTTATCCTGGTGACAAGCACTTCACAAATAATTTAACTTTAATTTGGAGTGCACGCTGGAATACGAATCAGTTAAAGGTGTCCCAGTGTACATTAAGTTATTGCACTTACATTTGAATTGGTAAGACCAAATTAATGAAAATCATTGTGAAAATGAGCAATGGCACGGAAAATAGTGTTATTCTTTTACTGAAAAATGTGGTTTACTACTGCATGAGCCCAGGTCTTTCACTAATAGACATAATTGCTGCATTTAGTTAGATAATATTCTTAAACCGGTACAATGTACGGACGGTCACTCCTGGACCGGTGTTTTCTCCGTTGGGCGCGCATCTGCTCAATATCCCTTCACAGCAGAAGGAAGGGCAGTTATCCGGAGGTCTGTGTGCGAAGTGGCAGCGAAAGGGTGCGAAACCTGAAACCGGATCGGGGCGTCGAGGGCCGGTCGCGGACTGGCTCTGCGCTTGTCGTTTGCAACCTTTGGCCCATCCCCCAGCGCCCAGCCCGACAGGTTTTCGTACAGGTTTCTGCCTTTATTGCGTGCATTGCAGGCTCGGGCGGGGCGCTTGTGTATAACAGCCCGGAGTCTGTCGCCTTTTCAACGGATCACACAGCTTTAGGCTCCTTCGTGCGCTCCGGTCTGCCACCCTCAACCGTGCCCAATATGTTCCGCTGCGGGATCGCCTATAACAGGTGCAGGTGGATTTTGCCCCTGCTGCTGCTTTTCGCCATTATATTTGACATTATCGCCATCGCCGCTACTTCTGGATGGGTGGAGGACGAAAACGCGCAGACCCACTATGCGAGCATGTGGAACCAGTGCCGGGGACGTAATGATAACTGGGACTGCAAATCGCTCATGGAGTACCGTAAGTATGAGACTGTAACAGGGCTGATAGGTATCACAGCCTATATTAAGTATGATCACGTAACAGGTCAATGTCGGCTACCCGGTGTGTTACTATGGAAAATAGAACTTATTCCCGGATGCCGCTAATGAATTTGTTGTATAGTTGGGGAACACCAGCACGAGACACAAATATGTGTAGGTCTAAGGGGGTGAATGAGGAATTCGAGAAATAGGTCCCGGATACATGTTTACATGTTTGTCGTGGCTTGATACCCGAGGGAAAACTTTAGTTTGTAAAATGCCACCTGAGTTTCAAAGTAAACGGTGTTTTCACATTTACTAACTCCGAACTTTGAGTTTTTTTTTTTGCAAGCTATACCATTTCCTCTGACAAAATTGCACATAAATGTACGTGCTGAAACATGCCCCGTTCCAGCAACCATTTTCTGGGAAGTACCTCCCTTGAAACGTCGCTATTGGCGGCGTTAAACATATTAATCCTGCTGAGACGGAGCATCGACGATTTATGTACGCAGAGGTATCTTTGAATAAACAAAGAAAATATCTAATTTAATTCAAGTTTTAGAAATTTCAAATTAGTGATGACGGTCCAAAGGTAGATGAATCCCGCTTACTTTTGTATGAGAAAATTGCTTACTTTGATTGACAGGAATAACTTTTAAACAGCTCTTCATATTACAAAGTTTAACCCCAAGTTAAAGTTTATATATATGCCTGCTAATTCATTTCTTTGGCACATCTTTCCAGTATAGTGCCTCAAATGTACTTTCATATTCAAATATAGTTTGTATTATGGAACACACTCAGTTATTTCTCACAATTACAGTGGAGCAGGCCGATTAACCGGTTTTACGGTGCCGGATTCCTCCGCTCAGGAGCTGCCAGTGCGCCGTCAATAGTCCATGTGACTAACACCGTGATGCGCTCTGAAATTAGCATTCGCGCAGCGTACAGCTTCAGCGGCGCCGATTTCATTTTCATGAATATTTAAGAAGCCCACCGGACCCTCGAAGATACTTCCCCTTCAGCGCAGGAGTGGGCCAGCTGCTAAACGTTATTATTTTCCCGAAAGCTTTCCTCCCTCGTGTACAAGGGGTTACGTTTCTGCCTGGCGTACCATCTTAACAAAATTCACCCCTGTACATTATAAAAGTTGTACAGAGGTGGCTGTGAATGGATGCGATTACAGCTGTGTTTGGGCTTCATGTTGATGGCAGTAATATTTGCCAGTGATATCAAGGTGGTGAGAATATTGGCAACTGAAATGTCTTCTCCTACAATCAGCAGTTTTAGTTTGTCTCCCTTGCAGGTGACACTGTACTCACTTTCCCTCTAAGGCGGGTTTGACTGTAAATCTGTAGGATTGTTTATCGCACCCTAGATTTAGTCACCGGGATACTGTTGTGATCTGTAGCATTGATATGAAGAGCAGACTTATTTCTGAGTCAGTTTGAGACGCCCAGCTAAAGAAGAACTTACTTTGAGGACTTTGAGTGTTTGGGGCACTTGGATATTTCAGAAACTTTTTTGGCTAAACTTGTTCAATGAGCCCAGTGAACATGTAAGAAAAACAGATTGTATCCTGGGAGGACTGTTTTTTAGAAAGCAAAAAATGAGATGAAATCAAGCTTTATTTGCCATTTGTTCAAATACAAGAAAGGGTTAGAAAAGACACATGCAGACCTTTATAAAGTTAATGATACAGTTTCATCTCCTGATGTTGATTTTCCAGTTTGATACAGCCTTTGACCGTGAGAAACTGCAGCAAGCACCAGAGAGAATGTAACACCTTTGCCTTGACTATCAAGCTGCAAATCTAACACATTTGCAAAATTTTATTCATAGATCATAACCAAGTTGAAAACTGCCTCCAGAAATGATTGGTGGTGTTCCAGAAAGTTCCTGAGTATTTAATAAGGTGTAATGTGTGGCTGGATTGCCCATGGCCTATATTTAGCTCCCTTGAAAGTGGTTGGTGTGGCTGGGAAGGGAAGTGATCAGACTGACCGCCTCTGGGAAGAAGGAATGCGGGTCTGCTGCGCTTCTCATGGAGCTGAAACATAACCTGCATGGGAGGGGAGACCCTGTCCTGTCTGTGAAAGCTGACCATGGGGGTGTGCCCCCCCCTGAACCCCCCCCCCCCCCCCAGCCTTCCAGTGAAGGTCAGCAGCTGTCTTATCTGCCCCAAGTCCATCTGCTCTGGGTGCTTCACTCCAGAACAATGTGGCGCTTGTTTCAGCAAGCCGGCTGAGTTTAGGTGTTATCTCGTCATACGTTTCCTCAGAAACAGAGCTGGAAATAGGTATGTTAGGCTGGATCTGCGGAATGAGCAGGGCCGGGCAGTTGGCTGGGTTTTTCAATTATGCGTCAGTCTCTGGAATCTTCTGTGCCACCAGGCGATCCTCATGGGCCCGCAGGGGTGTGCACTCTCTCCCGTGTGCTTCTGCCAGGCCTGCTCACCTTACTGACACGCCCAGAGAGGCCCAGAGTATGTCATGTGACTTGGTGCCAGAATGACATCTCTCACTGGAGGAGCCGACCATCCTGCTCAACCTTTGAAAGTTTTCACACTGTGATGCCTGTTACAATGTTATTTTTTATTTGACAGGTATGAGACATTGTACTGGTTTTAATTAGAGGCTTTTTCTGTGAATTACAGTATATTAGAAGTTAAAACAGAATTTGGAAGCATCGAGTTGCTAAACTTATCTGCATTACCAGTGGCCCAGTGTTACACCCCTGCACTGTGTTTTGCATTGATGCAGGAGGTGATATTTTGGCTGTAGATGAGTGACATGCACTCCTGCGCAGTTTGCATGCAGCAGAATGCTTCCTAGCACCTGGGTTGCTCTTCGAACAACGCAGCTCACGAACCAGCACCCTCAAACACTTCAGTTGGCCGACCCCACCTCCCCCCTACAAATCACCTCTCCTACCCCCACCATGCAGTTACGCAAGTCACTGTCCACTGGAAACTTACTCCTTACTGGCATTTACTTTTAACCAAAGCAGCCTACACTTCTGGAGAAAGCAGGGCCAGTCAGTCTCTGGTGCAAGTGGGATTTGGGCACAGACACTAAATCACGATACCAACAGGAGCTGAGATGCCGGAAGCCATTGGTGCTTTTAAAGTGTTTTCTCTCCCAGCTCTGTGTAAAGGGAGAACAAAAGCTTCCCGCGCTGTAATGGGAACCCCTCTGGTCTGGGAGTTCTGTGTTTTGCACGTCAGAAAGAAGCACAAACGGCTGCCTGTAAAGAGCAAGCAGAAGCCGGGCTTCAGGATCTCGCCATGGGAGTGTGAACGTAGCAGCCGGCCAGCAGGGGCAGCGTAGAGTTACTCATCCCTCCAGCTAAATGAAGGATGTTTCACATCCAGGCAGAATGTCTGACTCAGGTGTCAGGCTGTGGGCGAGCCGCACCCAGACCGCGAGCCGCACCCAGACCGTGAGCCGCGTCGCTGAACAACATGCCGTCCGTGTCGTCTTTGCTTTGTTTTGTTTAGAACCAAGAGGCACAAAAATAAAACCGTAGAAACGCATCAGTTACGCCGACGAACGAGTAGAAAACACTCAGGAGTTTGAAAGCTGAATCTGAAGTTGTGAGTGAACTGGTTTGTTTGATGTAAGTTATGGTAACATTGGAGTATGTCTGCTTTGCGTTTCAGCAGGCATATCGGTAGTAGAATGTGTCGGTGCCATTTGGGGATTTCGTGTCCCCTGCTGTCCGGCGGCAGCTGGGCAGGACCTGCCACAGTTCACTTTGCCAAACGGAGCCCTGGAGTCTTTGACTTGGGCTTTTTTTTGGGGCCTTCAGCGAGCGATGGCTGGGGTTGAAGCAGGCGACAGGAGCCGGCTTGTTCGGCATGACCTCTCCCTCAGGCGAGTTCCAGCCTGCCTGTGTCTTCATAGGCTGGGTGTGTGACTCTGCACTTAATTACCCAGGGTGTGGCCTGTAAGTGACAGTGAAGGTCCTTGCCACGTGACACCGGTGATAATGAGAAACTGCCACTGTCCTCCCAGCACCGGCCGTGAACCTGGGGCCGCCCCGAGTTCATTCCCAAAGGTCAGCTCGCGATGGGCTGCAGCCAATGTCTGGCCGGTCCTGCTTAGGGATGGCCAGGAGGACATTATGGTGAAAGTGTGTTTTTTTTATTGAATCTTTTGCCCCATTCTCATGTGGGTGGCGTTGGTCCCTCTCTCTCGACATATTTTGTTAAGGGTGTTCTTGTAAATTGAGACAGATTTTCAACTGTTTCATCTGGCATTCACTGAGGTAAACCCAGAGCACTGGGAACAAGCTCCACCTAAGGTATTTTACCCTGGAATGGGCTTATTCTGCAGCTGGCAACAGGGTAGATGGAGGTACTGGAATGGGAGTCATTGTGTCAAAAGCTTGTTGATACCGGAGAGCATGATTCAGTGTCTCAATCACATTGTGATCTTTCAGTGGAATTGTTACGAAGCACACAGGCCATTGAATTATTGTTTTGTTGTTGAGGTTTTTTTTAACGATGTGTTTTCTTTGGCAGCCTGGGCCCAGGCCGTAGCTGCTCTCATGATCCTGGGACTCTTCTTCCTCATCGTGGCCTTCATCATCTCCTGCCCAGCACTCTGCTGCAGTGTCAACATGAACCTGCTCCCCGTTATCGGAGCCCTCCTCATAATTGCAGGTTAGTTCCCCACGGAACGCTACAAATCACCCCCGGGGACACGGCCGACGCTCTGCGTACGTGATTATTACACTGAGGGTGATCAAACCTTCACTAGCCAGTAAGTAGCCGTTAAGTCATTAAAATTGCTTTGTAATTTCTGAGGTAATGTTCAATGTCCTCAGCTGTTATATTGGTAAAGAAATATTTAGCGTGCATTATTCTGATTTCTAAAAACTATTTTCTGCTGTTTATGGCATATAATGCGGGCAGCAGCTGGGCTGTTTTTAAATACTTAAAATAAAACAATCCAGCCAAAGCCTGAGGCTCTTTGCTCTTTGAACCGTGTGACAGACGGGCGCTTGGGCACAGCCCTTACATGAGAACACAACCGAATTGCTATGGCAACACTCCCTCCCGGACACGCCCTCGCCCTCGACCACTCCCGGCATGAGTCTGCCCCGGGGGGCGTGGCCTGGCCAGCTGTCATCAGGGATTGGCCAGCTGTAGGGAAATGCTGAGCCGTTTCGCCACCTGCTGGTCTCTATCTTCATCAGACACTGCAGAGGATAAATCATTACATGAGGGGGCACAAATAATGTAGTATTTTGCTTTTAAATATGTATTAATTAACTATAAAGTCTAGGTTACATACTGATCTCATGTTCTTTCATCATTAATGAATCGTAACCCATCTTTTATGTGAAGTATCGACTATATTTGTTCATGATTTGTACTTCAGTAGTAACTCAGTTAATACTAAGTATTTGTGCCCCATCATGTAAAGTGTTACCCTGTAGTTATCTGAGGCATGGAATAAACTACATGAAGTCATAAAAATGTCATTGTCCTGTAACTTAAAATGATTAACCTTTTATAGGGACGTTAAGCCCTGCATTGTGCCAAACTGTGCTTGACTACGCTGACCCTAGTACTCCTGCCTCTATCCGGATAACCTCACCATTAGCTCTCCCAGTCGCTGCCTACCCAGGCCCCGACCATGAGGTAGAGACGTGCTGCCCTCCTCCCAGTTTCGTTCGGCACTGCGTTTTTTTTTTAAACACGTCCACACCTGTCCGCTCGATTCACACGATGCAGTGCTGCGGCTCAGCTGCTCTTCCTCCAGTGTGATTATGCCGCTGTTCTCAGTTTTCTGGACGTTTTACCTGCAGGACAGTTAAATCTCAGTATTCGGGCATCCTGAGTAAACCAGTAAGGTACAAGATGCAAATACCTTTCAGAAGTCATCTTTGAGATCTGCAGACGGAGATTCGCAGGACTCCGTAGCGGGGAATAGCCGGCGGCCAGATGCACTGCTATTTTCCCAGTGCCTCTGAAAACCAGCCCTAACATGCATGCGGGGTTTGGTCCTTGACTCGGGCTGCATGATATCACATATCACCATTATAGGGTAATAATCACCACGCCTATAGATGACGGGCGTAAACATTTGTCTGGGCGCCGGCTTTTTGGTTTTACGTTTACTTACGCCCATAATTTGGTAAGCAGGTTAGCAGTACGCCTAAAATATTAATGAGATGTGTATTGTGATGCCCAAAAGATAGTAATCTGTATAAATTCGGCGTACACTTATGTTTAAAAAATGTGTCGGACTTTAAACCACAGAAAGTACCGCCACACCACCGACGCCTTTTACCGTGTTTATCCACAATATCTCCTCCTTTAAAAGACGTCGTGGCTGCTGATCTGTCCCTTTCTTCACCGCCACTTTAGTACTGATCACTTCCAAAGTGAATTTAATAAAAATTCAGCAGCTCCTTACGTTGACGATATCGCCGTGTGCTATCGCCGTGTGCTATCGCCGTGTGCTATCGCCGTGTGCTATCGCCGTGTGCTATCGCACGGCCCTGGTCCTGACGTATCCGATGGAGGCCCCTGCAGTAGCTCTCTCAGGCATCCTCATGGCCAAGATGGCCGCCACGCTGCGGCGCATGTTCGAAGCAGCACGGTGTTGCATCTCCCTCCTCTCTCTCCCCGCGCAGTGATTCTCCAGGTCATCGCGCTCATCATCTACCCAGTCAAGTTCAACGAGCTGATCTACGAGGGCCACTACTTCTACACGTGGGCATACGGCTTCGGCTGGGGCGCCACGCTGCTCATGATTGGCTGCAGCGTGCTCTTCTGCTGTCTGCGCAATTATGAGGATGAGATCACCGGCCTGGCCAAGACCAAATACATCTACAACAGCGCCTAGGGGCCTCAGCGCCGTCCGGCGGAGGCGGTGACAGGGAGCTGGGACACAGGGTGCCTGTCCGGACAGCTTCGCGCAGGAAGCCCCTTTCATGCTTCCGATATTCCCTCACATCCACTGCCTAGATAACGATCGAGCAGGAATTACTGCTGTTTAGCTTTACTGGTTCAGCTCTACTTGCCGGAGTGGGCCAAGGGCCTGTAACGGTGTAAATAGTAACATATTTGAATACTTCCTTCCTGTTTTACTGGCTCCTCCCCCCCAAAAGGTGTGTATTTCTGATAGAGTAGGACCTTTGGGAATGTTAAGTGCTCTTAATCTTGAAGAATTTTTTCCAAAAAAATGCCCCAATGTCAGGCTGTGCTTGAGTTTTCCTGAGGACGGGGTTTTCAATGTCTTTGTGAAAATCGTCTATTATTACTGCGGTTGGGATCTTTTATTCTTTTCTCTAATTGAATCTGAAATATCACAAATAAGCAATGTTGCCTCTTATTTTTGAAGTTGTGCTGTATTCTCTACTACACTGTTTGCACTCCTTGTAAAACTGGTTTATTCAAATGAATGTTTTGTCAGTTCGCATCTTTCCATTATCATCATTATAATCATGTATTCCTGTAACTTTTTTGTAGTTTGAATCTTCATAAATGTGCCTTATTCCTTCATGGGGATTTTAATGCTTATATAATAAAAATTATCCAGACATAGAGTTTTGTTACACTGAGAATTCAGCAGTCACCTTTAACCACCATTAGAGAATCACTGCTTTGCCACATTAAGCGACATGCATTTTAAGCTCCTTTAGACTTTTCTCAATAAAGTGCATTTTGAGACCATCTTAATTTCGCATGCAAGTCTGGATGTTTTACCTCAAGCAGAAAGTGAGTGTTAATGTTCCACCTGAGAGACAGAATGAGAATGGGCCCCGTTTTTGACACAATGGCAGCTGGAAATAAAATTAATATATTTTTGAGGGTTTTTTTCCTTGTACTGAGGGGAAAAAAGATGCTACGTATTCATTAAAAAACGCCTTAGAAAGTACTGCTATGTTTTACCTGCAAATACACTCGTACACAAATTCATGAACACGCACAACTGCTACTTACACATGTATACAAGCACACAGAAAATACACACTATTACTGGCATGCAAACATGCTTTCTGAGCCATGCACGCACATTGCATACTGACGCAGCCGCGCATGATGCCACTGCTGACGGACAGAGGTAACAAAGCCAAACTGGAGTTTGACACGACTTACCCGAGGAAGCCAGTATACTTCTGGAAGTACCTATGACTTTTTTCTCCGCTTTACTGTGTCGTTCCATTGCAAACAAAAAATGAAAGAACATGGACACGTCGATACTGAAGGACTTGTAATTGCAACAGTTTTCTGGGCGCAGTGGTGCATTTTCTGAAGGGAGAGCAGGGACACTGACGTTTAAGGCCATGACTGCACATACTGCGACTTGTATGGATGCTTTCCACCCACAAAATACACACTAATAAACGAGCTTACACAAGTACAAACATACACACACAGGGAATACTACTAAGAAATGCCTACACCCGTGTAGACAAGTGTCCACACAAAAAATATATTAATACTTATAAATGCATATACAGGAGTAAAAAAATGTGCATGTACAAACTGTATACTGCGACTTGCGACTTGCAATGGATGCACAAAGGCACAATACATATTACTGCTTTCTTGCACACACCCATACACACACACGTGCATACACACACAATAGATAGTGCTGCACTATCGGAACACAGATGCACGCATGCATACACACACAATAGATAGTGCTGCACTATCGGAACACAGATGCACGCATGCATGCACACACAAAATACAATCTGCTATGTACAGGTGTGCAAGCAAATATGCACAGAAAGAAAATATACAAATAAATTGCTCCTAACACATAAATGCAGAAGCATCCGAGACACCCAGACGTTAGCAGCCGATCCTTTATGTCCTGTAAGCTGTGAGGTGGAGCCTCCATGGATCAGACTTGTTTGTCCAGCACGTTCCACAGATGCGCCATCGGATTGAGATCTGGGGAATATGAAGGCCAAGTCAACACCTCACTTTTTCATGTTCCTCAGACCATTCCTGAACATATTTTGCAGTGTGACCGGGCGCATTATCCTGCTGAAAGAGGCCACTGCCATCGGGGAATAGCGTAGCCATGAAGGGGCGTACTTGGTGTGCAACAATGTTTAGGTAGGGGGCACGTGACAAAGTAACGCCCGCATGAATGCCAGGACCCATGGTTTCCTAGAAGAAAGTTGCCCAGAGCACCAGAGAATATGCAGTGTTATTGAAAACAAACGGTGGCACACACTTCATCAGACACGTCAACAGACAAGACGGTGTGTCGATCACTGCGATCAGTACCAGCGCGTGAGCAAGTCTGGGTCGGTTACTTCAGCTTCAGCCGGTAGGTAGCGTGTCTGCTTGTTACATCCGCTAGGTGGCAGTCGTTGCACAAATATGATGAACCCGGAAGTAACCAAGTTATAATATTCTGCAATTTTCTAAGTCGCTTGATAAAGTTTCTAGATAATGAGGACCAAATTCAAATATGAGAATATCTTTCAATTAACAATTCATGCCGCAATAAACCATGATATATCTTATACAAGACGCAGGGTTTTGTATTACATGACTAAATATAACTTCCGTTTGCAGGTATCAAGACCCATCTGTGTACCGTCATTAATTTCGGGAATAAGTCACCGTATGGGCAACTCGATGTAGTATCTATGGTAGGTTTTGGACTAGATCCAAAGAGAGGTTTAAATCTTAGAGTGTGTATATATAAATGACATTACATTTACATTTTAACATGTCCACGTTAGGTAAATGAATTACAGTTAAATTGAGTTCAGTCCAAACGGACTGATTAAAAGCACCCCATAAACTGATGTCATGAGCAGGTGGTTGGCCTGGGTGAAATGCGACCTTTTAAACAGTCCGTCCGCATGTTATGCAAATATTTGCGTCTTCACTATGGCTACGTGCGGCGTCAGAGGAGCGCCGCCATGTTTCCATCCAGCCGCACCACACTTTTCTCTTTTTGCATGTAACTGCACAGTAATCTTACATTTCGTATTCTACATGTCATTTGGTGTTCTCCGCGTTTGAAACTCGTCATCATTAAAAAATAGCCTCTCTACACGTCTCGACCTGTAGTATAATTTCCCCTGGATGGCTGCCAAGAACGCATGCAGGTTACTGCTCTACTATTAAAACACTAAACAAACTGATCCTCAGTACATCACAGATTAATCGCAGTAGGAGCATACTTAAAAATAACTTTGCCTTATGAAGAATTAAGAAACAGTGGTAGTTTTATTTGTACCGATAAAAACTTTGCTCTACGTATTAAATATAGAAATGTGGACCCCACACGTGGAAAAAAAATGCGACTTCCAGTAACTACTTACTCATACTATCTGTATTTTTTATTTTACCATTTTGTGGTTCATGCATGTCACACTTGAACACATTGAAATTGTTTATGTCACGACCTGAAACGCAATAAAACGAAACTATTCAAAACAGTGCCTGGCCGCATATGACATCAGCTATGGAAACACGGTGGAGTCCGTGCAGCGAAAACTCCGGAATGGGACAGCCTCACTGCCTTGGTACTTTACTTCTTTGGAGTTTTAAGGCAAAAACCTGTAAGAATTCCTATGACTTTTACTTTTACTTACGTGCACGAGTGAGACAGGGAGAGTCTAGCAGTGCCGTACCTGCCTGGGCCGATGTCGGCGGGGGGGCCGCCTCCTTTCTGCGGGCGGGACGTACATCTCCTGTGCCCTTCAACGAGGGACAACCCCCCCCCCCCGCCGGACAAATTTACGGGGCGCGCTGAGCAAGAAAATGGATGAGATTTACGGGATCTATCCCGCATATACTTTTCCAAAAATGAGTCAGTGAAGGGTTCTGACTGACAGCTCGCTACCATTTGAATACCGACATGCAAATTGTACGTGTGCCCTTTATGACCTTCTTCTGTCTCATACGCACGTGACAGGCTTTCGGTTTTGCTCTTTGAAATGTCACCTCTGATAAGAATCAGAGTCGGTGGACTGGGGAGGCAACCTCATTTATAAAATGTGTACCACGTTTCTGAAACGCGGCATCTGAAAAAATTCTCGTTTTGCACCTCACTTGCTGCTTTTTTCCTGCCTTCTGCAGAAGCTCTGTCAGCTGCCTGTGAGGTTAGGGTTTGGAGGGGCGCTGACCCCAGGATTTAAAGTTAAGGTGGTTTCCGATGTTCTTGAAAGCTTTTTGGAATGTTGAGACATTTCCCTCAGTCTACTGACAGCTCATTATCTGAAATGTCCCAGTCTAAGAATGAGAGCCCGTAGGTGCTTTGAAAGCCTGACCTAGTTGTCATTTTATAGCCGACGTTTACTAGTCAGTTTTACCCAACTATTAATATTTGGATTGTACGCTTGTTGACTCACTTTATTGTTGAATTATATTCAATTTGATTCTTTTTTTGTCAATGGTCTTTTGCGAGTCTGTATTATAATTGTATAATATGGAAAATGTATGGAAAGTGGATCATCATGGTTTCTATTCCTTAGTAAACTAGTTTTGTGAATGGAGTACATCCCATCAGGCAGTACACATAGTCCATACTAAAAGTGCTCTATTGTAGATGCTACAGGAACCTGTAAAGTGTTACTGTAAGGACCTACATGGGACCACAGCCACTGAGCCCAGTGAGCAGAACTATTCTAATAAAACAGTTTCACTTCTCTCAGCTGGTTTTCTGTACCTGCTTTTAAAATATGGCACGCATTCATATGTTGAGGATCTACCCAGCCTACATTGTGTGATGCATCTATCATTTAGTACAATTTCGCTGGCTGTCAACTTGAAATTCTTCACATTTCATCAAATCGTGCATGAAATACAGGGACCCAGTTCAGCTGGGTGGCACTTTGCCATCACTAATCATCAGAACAGTCTTCGGTATTGCCAGGCGAATCTGATGTCCTGCTATGTGGAAAGCCCTAATGTTAAAAAAAGAACAGGAACTTTGACCCATTGCCAAATAAAATGCTTATAGACAAGAAAAAACACGTTTCAGCCAGCTTCCTCTTTCAGAAATCATGGATTTTATTTGTGGCAACTGAATACTCCACCAATTCATTCTAAAAATTTCTACAAAACCGTCAATGAAGACGTTTGTTTCTCCAGGATGAAAGACCAGGCAGAACATGGTTCTCTTTCTGCAATGATGACGGAAGCAGATTAAACTGTCGCCATCAGTACAGTGCTCTCCAGTGGCCCTGTGACTCTGTGCAGAATAAGCAGTTGAAGGACGGATGGATGGATGGATAGATGGGTGGGTGGATGGAAGGGTGGGTGGATGGACGGCTGGATGGATAGATGAATGAGTGGACGGATGGGTGGATGGACGGATGCATGGGTGGGTGGACGGATGGATAGACAGATGGTTGGATGGACAGGTGGACGGATGGGTGGATGGCTGGATGGATGGACAGATGGGTGGACGGCTGGATGGATGGACGGATGGGTTGGGGATGGATGGATAGACAGATGGATGGATGGGTGGATGGATGGACGGACGGATGGATGGATAGACGGATGGATGGATGGGTGGATGGATGGAAGGTTGCTCTCTTACAGAGGTATTTGTGTTTTTATTGTGATCAGCAATTAGGCCAACAGAAAAATACTTCATATGAAGATACTCCAAAAACCCTGCACTGCATAAGCATTTGACTGAAAATTATATTGACTAAATAATCAAAATTAGATATGATACTTTCATACTGACATTAATAAATAATTACTAGAATGTCTTAATAATTGTCTTGATGTATTATTATCATACAACATAGATACATACAGGCTGATTTGTAGAACATATCCTGTTCATGATTTTCCAAACTTCAGGCTAGAATTTTTACTGAATCTTTAACATTTTCATTGCCAAGGAACCATTCCATACATTTTCCTGCATAAAAATGCTACCCCTGTATGTCAGTTGTGTAACCTTATCTCGGTCACATGACAACAGGTGCTTGCAAATGTCAGTTTTTACAAAAGAGCTTTTCATCATAAACGGGCATCTACTAGCTGGAGGCTCGTAATGTACGTCTTCGATCTGAGTGTCGCACTAGAGCAGCTGGTGATGGAAAACACCTCTGGTAAGGCCTCTGATCTGCATCTTATCTGCCCTCTTCATCAGATTATAGGTGATCATTTCCCAGCCTAAAGTTACCTTAAAAACTTTGAAAATGTCTCCATTTCATTTTTCTGCACATGTACTGCTAGCCAATAAAACATTCAACGCTGAACTTTCGTAGCCAAACTGTCCTGCTCCCGGAATCACCTGATGAGCAGCACAGGGAGTGTCGTCTCCAGCCCTCAGAAATACCTGGAAAGGCCAGTCTATGATTCAGGCCATTGAATGGACTGAGATCTCAGAGGCTTCAGAGCCGGCGGGCGTCGCGCACCTGGAAAGACAGACGGCAGGCATGACGTTGCGTGGTCGGAGGACTCCAACACCCGTCACTGAGGGAGGGGTGACTGTGTGTTAACCATGAATGTCGAAGGTCCCCCCCCCCGTTCATGACACCCCTACAACTTTAGAATCGATAAAGACATCAGTTCACACCGGCCTCAGCTGGAACAGCATGGTGCTAATCAGCAAAAACCTACAGGACCCAGGGTATCCAGGCCTGGGAGGCGAGGTACCACAGTGCCACCGATAAAGGCCATATCTCAGCAGTGGTATGTAGCATGGCTAACACTTAGCGGCTATCGCTAAAGGGCACCTTCCAGTCATTCGCATGAAGGAGCCATGGGTCAGGCGCCGACCTGCTGTAGCTTAATGCCACTTAATGGGCCGATAAAGTCGTGTCACCGTTGTAAAACAGAAACAAAAAAAAAAGACCACAACATCCTCATTGAGCCACCTGCTGAAAACCACCGCTGCTGGGGGGGTGGCCGGCTTCCTGTGTCTCTCGGAGTTCACATTGATGTAATAATTTATAAGCACCGCGATGGTCGCACCTGGATGGCGGAATTAGCTACCAGTCTGATTAATATGTGAAGCACTGGCGTTTTACGTCAGATCGTAAGCCGAGGGTTTTCATTGGTCGCTCAGCCCAGCCAGCGTGACTCATAGCGCTAACGTATATGTGTCAACGATGCAACTTAAAAACTCCCTAATTAGACTCATTTCTATCTGGGCTGGAGGGCATGTGCTTTAAAAAAAATAATTTTAAAATGACGTCTGTAACGGTTCTTCTTGCCCTGAGCGCGGTGTCACCACCAGGGCCACCACAGCGGACGACACCGCTATTTCTGGAGGACCCGAGATCCGCGACCCCACCAAAAGCGGCGCACCCCCGCAACGCACAAATGTCACCACTCGCCCGCCACAAATATCCCCTTGAGACAGTGGCGCTGCCCAGGAAAAGTTTCCTCCTTTATGTGTGATTCAGAGATGGTGGGGGGTGGGGGGGGGGATGTCTCATGTCAAAAAGGGCTTTTTTTGGGTGAGAACTGGGGCCGTGGGCGGCAGGGCAGAGGAGTGGGCGGTCTCTCAGAATTACATCGCCGGGGAGGCAAAAAATATGCAAAAAAAGTAGAAGTGAAAATGTCAAAAATGTCCCACAAAAAAAAAATAAAGAATAAAAAAGGCATAGCCCACTCTTGCTGAAAGGGGCTCATCTGTCTGTCGTTACTAAAAAAAAGGAGTGGGAATTCTGCCGCGGTATCGGCTCTCAAAACAAGCATACATAAACCCTAAAACAAGCCCTTAGCCAGAACAACCCTGGTGACCTACTTTGAACGCAGTTTCCTTTAACAAGAAATGCATGTTGTTAGAAGAAGAGACTACGCTCAGAATGATGCCTTCGCTTCCAACCAATCACAGATTGCCTGTGAGGTCAGCTGACTGATGAAAACAGCTCATTGGCCGAGGCTGCCCAAGGAGCTTTCGAAGTCCGACCGAACATTGCAATTTCAAAACCATTTAGCTAGTCAAAATTCTAGAAATCTGCGCTCGAAGTTAAAAAACAAAATCGTCCATGATACTTACAAGTTGCTCTATTATAATGTGGCATTAAAACCACTTACCTGCAAGTCACTTCCAATTAAAACACAAGTTTAAGGCTTCTGCATGACAGGGTTGGCAGTATCCAGCAAAACTCACATAAACAGTCAGCGTTAAAATTACCACTGCTCTGAAGCATACAAGCTGCTTTAATGGGCTTGTTGAGATACATTCAGCACATTTTACAGTTACATACAATTATTGTATCACACCCGTGTAAAACAAGAACCATGTCTCAGATACAGGAAGTGAGGTTCTTGTAGTACAGCAATTATAATCATAAGACCACAAGCTCACCTTAATCTTACTTAGTAAATAATACATGTCATTTTACAGTTTAACAACAGGGGAGGCCAAGGGGTCCCTGGGATTATAGGCACCGATAGAAAAAAAACCAGCCCCATCTCTCACTTGCGAAGTTTCTTTGATAAGCCATCAAGCGCATCTCTGGCACGCCACTGGGTCACGCCGGCGCCGATGCAGAAGCCGTTCCCATGGAAACGGCCCCAGGGCGCAACAGGAAAGCGCGTCATGCACATTTTTCCAAACAGGTGAGATCGAAACAATGATCAACGAATCGCACACGTATTATTAAAAATAATTTATTTGAGATTATATAAATAAAGTGGCGAATTACTAATTTTTTTTAATGAATAAATACCAAAAAACAAAACAAAAAAAAAAACAGTTCTTCCAACAATACA